TGTGGTGCATGACTAGCCGTTCAAAGCACTTCATGAGGATAGGGGTAAGTGCAACTGGACGGTAGTCATTGAAGCAGGATGGAGACAACTTCTTCGGGACTGGAATGATGGTGGTAGCTTTGAAGCATGCTCCTGTTGCTGTTGTTGGAGCTGGGAGGGATGTATACAGCAACGAGCAGTATAGCTGTATATTCCCTCTGTAGATAGAACGGCTGGCACTTAATAATCATAAACTCCACCAGGGGTGAGCAGTGTTTGCAAACCACAACAGCATTGCGGCACCACGTATCATTGATGTGGGTCTTACCTCCCTCGACGAGAACTCTGTCCGCTCGATAGTTGAATTGTGTTACTTTTACAATGTAAAAACAGCTGTTTCAGAAACTGTAAAATACTGTAAAAATGAATGCATTTGAAATAAACGGGTTGTATTAGGTCTGGGCCGGTTTTAATAATTTCATAGCTGTTATGAAGTACATATGTTATGATATTTGTTAGATCCACCCGGTCAGATCAGAAGGATGAAAAAACTTAATATTATCAGCAATACTTTGAACGTCAATGCCACTGAAACAGTTGCTTTATCGGAGTCGTTTTCTATCTGTTTTAGTTATTTTCCTCATTTACATTTTGTTTGTCTACAGACAGACAGACAGAAACAATATCAAAGACATTTTTCAGCTCCCCGCAGATTTTAATAAGCAACCGTTTTATTGCAGAAGAAAAGATATCAAACCCAAAAGTCAAACTTTAAAGGTTTAAAAATAGACTCAAATGAATTCATTACAGAAGCACAGGACAGACATTTAGTGTTTGTTTTTCTGAGTGTTTAATGTGTGCGCAGATGGACTGAGCTTATGTGCCTCAATAATCAAAGACACTGATATAAGATGAATTTCTCTCTGACTGACTCGATTTAAAGGATCGGCCCTCATGAACTCGGGAATCTGATTGCTCATAAAGGCCAGTAAAACTTTTTGAAATTCATCAAATCTTTGAAAGAGACTCTTTGAGAATTTGACTGGATTTCTGTGGTGTTTTCTCTACAGTTTGCTGTCGTATCAACTATAATAATATGAACCTAACATTAATGGCATGCAAATACCAAACAAGCTATAGTTTTTAGCTTTGCATGTCAGTCAGACTTTGTGTTTCATGTCTAAGTGGCGGTTTTTAACTAGAATAATCTGCACTGGGGAATAGAGTTAATGATGTTAAATTAAAAGTTTCTCACATGAGACTAGATGGAAATCAGAGCTGCTTTGTCAGTATAAAGGCGGTTGTAAATGGCTGAATATGTGCAAGAAAACAACAATAATTCAGTATGCATTAATTCAATAATTACATTTTTAAACTGTAAAAAAAAAAAATTCACCTACTTAAAAAAAGGTTCAGTTGCTGCCTTGTCTAATCACATTTTTAGAATCTTTTCTAGTTCAGTTTCAGTAATTGAACCAATTTCAACTTCATTTTTATTAGTTAAAGTAATGGAAAAACATGTTGCCATGGCTTGATTTTTAAATGTAAAAATATTTTAAAGTTTTAAACAGATGAGGTTCCACCTGTCACGGGTCGTCAAGGAATGAGGACAGCAAACGAAGACGCATAATTCCAAACAGACTTTACTGAGAATTCTGACTTGGTTCAACACATAACACAAGCTAATAACCGACGAAGGATAGAACAGAATCAGGACTATAAATACACACAAGGTAAATGAGGGAAATAAGCAGGAACAGCTGGACAAGGATTAACTAATCAGAAACCATGGTAACTAATGAGAGCTCATTACAGAAACTAAACATAATCGTGACATTAGCTCCCCCTTTCGGAAGGCGTGACCTCACGCCACAACAGTAGATGACAGAAAAGAGGAAAGAGGGTGGAGGCTTAGGCGGAGGGTGTGGTGCTGGTGAAGGACTGGAACCTGGAGAATTCGGAGGAGACCAACACCATGGTGGAGCCGACGGTGGGAAGAACCAGGGAGGAGCTTTGGCTGAAGGACTGGGCGACACCCAGAAGCCGATCCACTGAGGCGGAACCAGGGTACGTGGCGGAACCGGAGCAGAGAGGCCGATGGACCAGGACATCGAAGGCCTGGAAGCCCAAGGTGGAGCGGCTGGCTCACGTGACTGAGGCAGAGCCGGGGATTCGGCTGACCAGGGCGATGATGGAGCGAGCGAGGATGACAGGGAAACCAGAGGAAGGGAGGAGCCCGGTGAAGCCGAAGGGGTGGAGGGTCGAGGCGCAGCCGGAGACCCGGAAGTCCGTGGCGGAAGCTGAGCGACGACCGACCGAGGTTTGTCCGGATGTACGAGGGAGCCCAGAGGAGTCCTAGGGCAGACAAGCCTCGGTGGAGCCGAAGGAATACAGAGCCAGAGCGGAGTCGGCGGGCTGACAGGCCGAGGTGGAGACATGGGCCTGGAGGGCCGAAGTGAAGCCGGGGACTCGGAGCCATACCGAGCTGGTGGAGAGGAACACTGAGGCGAGGCTGATGAGCCGCACAGAGCTAGCGGCGGAGGCAGAGCCGAGGAGCTGGACGACACCAGTGGGGCCGACGAATCCAGGGGACTGACTGAAACCAGAGGAGGAGATGGGACCAGGAAATCTGATAGAGACATCGGAGGAGGAAGATCTCCAGACGGGACTGGAGCCTCTAACAATCCGTACGGGACCGGCAAAGACAAAGGTTTGAGGGTGGGTACTTGGGTGGGAACTGGATCCGCGGACCACAGATCTATGAGGTTCATGTTCGCTCCTGGCTTTACAGTGAACTGATCAGCGTGCTCAGTCTCCTCGGCTTTGGTGGACTCCGGCTTTGGTTCCTGGACGAGCCCTGTTGGTGTCTCTGTGAGGGAGAGGCCACTGTTCTGGAGCATCCAGCCCAAATAATCCAGCCACCTTTGGCTTTCTGGTCTGAGGAGGAGACGTAACGCGGGTGAGTCCATGCTTGGTTTATTTTGATGCGGTCGGTTATTCTGTCACGGGTCGTCAAGGAATGAGGACAGCAAACGAAGACGCATAATTCCAAACAGACTTTACTGAGAATTCTGACTTGGTTCAACACATAACACAAGCTAATAACCGACAAAGGATAGAACAGAATTAGGACTATAAATACACACACGGTAAATGAGGGAAATAAGCAGGAACAGCTGGACAAGGATTAACTAATCAGAAACCATGGTAACTAATGAGAGCTCATTACAGAAACTAAACATAAATGTGACACCACCTGGATGAGATGAGGAGAGCCTCACCTGTCCACCTTCTGTTCTCCTGCACACTTCACATTAGATGAAAGAGCGACCGATCCGTCAGCGCTATGGCGATGATCACCGCTGCGTCACATCTGGAGATGTTTAGAGCTTTTAACCGTCTTCAGCAAAGCAGAAGGTGAAGGTGAATGTAGTGCTGAAGCTCAGTGTTCTCCTGAAAATCTTGTGCGACACCTGAGATCCCTCAGAACTCTGAGTTTACATCTTGCAACTGTCTTACAAATTATTTTTCTACAAATACAGATTCTAAGTTTCATCTTGATTCTTGAATTTTTTTTTTTTTTACAATTCCAAGTTTACATATTGCATTTTTTTTAAGAGTTGAATTTACATCTCGCATATGTTTCTTTTTTTTTTTTTAGAATTCTGAGTTTACATCTTTCTTTTTTTTTTTTAATTCTTGCAATTTAATAAGAATTCTGAGTTTACATCTTGCAGTTCAGTTGTTTTTAACAATTCCGAGTTTACATCTTGCAGAATT